AAAATTGATTCCAACATGGGTTGCCATACTTAACAAAGGAGTTGTTGAGACTCTCCAATAAACTAGGCCTTATCAGACCCTGGCTTACCTCTGTTTGGTTATGCTTGAGTTACTCTGGCCATGCTGTACACACACTGTGCATGGAAACTTGCTTCATGGCTCTTGAACTAAGAAACCAATGTGGGATAGAGTACCTGTGCTGGCTGATTTTAACCACTTGCTGCGAAGTGCCTTTGGAAATGCAGTGTCTAATGCCGGGCAATTTTTCAATATTTTCAGTTTTCAAAAATCTTCACAAATTCAAAATGTACCCGAAACCGTTCTCCTTGGCTGCAAGTGGCTAACCCCTCCAAAATTTACAGTTTAAAATATGAACTATTTCGGAACTCTAGAATTCATCAAAGGCAAGGTGAACAGTAACAGTGCAGTGGAGACAATAAAGTAACAAATCCACATAATATCATAAACTACATGTATTCCCAGTACATGCACAAAGTGTACACAGCATATTCAGCTGGTAAAAGTTTGGTGGAGAGCTAGGGCATCATGAGCTTGTCAGCCTTACTTAGCCAAAAGAGGGCCAAGAAGAACTATTGCATGCGAAAGTGAATTTGCCAACAGAGACTTTTAAATACAGAAGGCTCTGTTTTGTGCTCTCCTTTGAATGATAGGGGCTCAAGCTGTCAAGAGAAAACTTGCTCAAACTTCCCTGTGACCTTAGAGTTAATTAACCCACAAGTGTCCTCAAACTCATTTCCGTACATAATTTCTGAAATAGTGATAACAAATAGATGCTACATACCTGTAAAAAGGACATAGTAAAGTGGACACTGGCTAATAGTGTCGGAATCAATGTTCACATGGTCACTGATCAAAGCATGGAGTCAAAATAACCCCAGAACAAGGGCCCAGACACAACCCTTCAGTTGCCCACAAGAAGCTACATCACTTTCACCATGTAGTCCTTCAACCATTCCCTGTCGTAACATGTGTTTCACATGAAACAGTTACATGGTACTGGGACTGCAATAAACAGTTGCTTATCAAGAAAAAATAGGGGGCCTAATCTATGCATCTACACTCTCCCCTGGAAATTTAAATGTTGTCCTCAAAATTTCTGTGCAAATGGATGACAGCTATAAGACATACAGTGCAACTATGTAGGGCCCAAATCAGTTCTGTGAGTCTCTGTGAAGATTCCTCCTGTCCAAACATACACTGGACAGCAGAAGAAACTTGAACAAAAAAGGTTTGCAGGTACACCATGTGGGAAATATCTCTTTCATGAAGAGGTGTGGTTCTAAAAGAACCGGTGAGAGCAGGTCTCGACGTTTCGGCCAGTGTACTCTGGCCTTCCCCAGGAGAGAATGAGCTAGACTCCGGATAAGCTGACTTAAATAAGCAGCTTAGGGGTGGCAACTCAAGAAGTTCCACTGACTGTCCAAAAACCTACCCCAGCCCGGAGGATATTCTATATCCAAAGGGCACCCCACCTCCCCACCACTACCTCGCCAACTCCGTAATCGAGTTGAGTTCCACAAACACACAGTCGTCAACCTAAGCCAGCACACCCTTTCACCTACAGAAACCAACGTCCTGTCCCTAGGCATGAACTTTGCCACTCCTCCCCGCTCCATCCCATCGGCCAAGATCATCCAAGCCACTGAACCAGCCCTACGCAGACTCAACAAGCCTGACGCTAATGACCTCCGGATCAAGATCTACCAAGCCCTTCAACGAGCCAAGCCCCCCAAGCCGAACCTATCCAAAGAAGGGACCCAAGCCCTCCAAGACCTTCGCAGTGACAAGAGCATCCACGTCCTCACAGCCGACAAGGGCAACGCTACCATTGTCATGGACCGCACAACTTATGCCAGCAAGGTTCAAGACATCCTGGAATCCCGAACCTACAAACCTCTCCACAAAGACCCCACTCAAGCCATTGAAAGACGCATCACCAGCAAACTCCTCGCCCTCCACCAGTCAGAAGCCATTCCCCAAGAGTTATACCGCCGCCTCCGCCCAAACAGCCTCTTCCTGCCCCAGATTCTTTGGCGAACCAAAGATTCATAAAGGAGATATTCCATTTCGGCCCGTAGTGTCATCTAGGGGCTCACCCACCTACGAGACGGCCACATTCCTAGCCAGCCTCCTCCAACTCCTGGTGGGCAACATACCTCACCACATTGCCAACTTGACAAAGTTTGTGGAACTCATCAGGGGCCTTACACTCCAGCCCAGTGATATCATGGTGAGCTTCGCGTTGGTGTCACTGTTCACCAACGTTCCCACCTCAGAGGCATGCAAAATCACTGAAGACCGCCTGTCCAGTGACCCTTCCCTCGCTGACCGCACTGCCCTCTCACCCAGCCAGATCACCAACCTCATCCGGCTCTGTGTATCATGCAGCTATTTCCAGGTTCAAGGCCAGTTCTACGAACAGACGACAGGAGATCTCCTATATCCCCAGTCCTCGGCAACATCTTCATGGAGGAATTCGAATCATCTTCTCTTCTCACCGCTGACCGTAAACCCACCCTGTGGCTATGCTATGTAGATGACACCTTTGTGATCTGGCCCCACAGCCAAGATGCACTTCAAGACTTCTTGGGGTACCTCAACCAACAGCATCCCACCATCAAGTTCACCATGGAGCAGGAGGAAGAAGGCCAACCTTCCTTCCTCGACGTCCACCTTACAAGACACGCAGATGGCACCCTCGACCACCGCGTCCACTGCAAGCCAACCCACACAGACCGGTACCTTCACCACAGGTCATTCCACCACCCAGCCATCAAGTCATCAGTCAACAGCACCCTTGTACGGCAAGCCTTCAAGATCTGCAACCAAGACAACTTGTACCAGGAACTCCAACACATCAAAACAGCCCACCACCTCAACGGCTACCAACGCATCAATGTCACCAAGCCTCCCCCCAAGACGTTAGGGTCCTCTATACCCGAAGTCACCCCACCCTCCCCGGCGTTAGGGTCTCCTATACCCGAAGCCACTCCGCCTGTCGCCACCATTTGCCTCCCGTACCTTGGCCCCGTCTCCCACCAACTTTGGGGTATGCTACAAGCCACCAACATAAAAGTGTTTCTACACTCCTACAAAGACAAGCAGCCCTCCACCAGTCGCCCCGGTGTTTACCGCATTCCATGTGAATGCGGTCAGGTGTACATCGGGGAAACAGGAAGGACCCTCCCGACCCGCATCAAGGAACACAGAGCACATGGCCGACGAGGGGAATACGACGAGTCGGCCATCATCAAGCATGCCCACGACAGAGACCACAACATCAAATGGGACAACGCAGAACTGATCGCCCCCATCAAAAACTGGATGCCAAGAAGAATCCGTGAAGCCATATAGATTTTCCGTCACAACACCGTTCCCCAAGACATCGGCTTCAAGCTCAGCGACATCTGGCGTCCCCTACTCTCTACAGCATACCACCCCCCCCCACCCCCCCGGGAAGTAGGGTCTCCTATACCCAAAACCCTCCTCTCTACCCAGCCTAACCCCCCTTTCCCACCCTTTTCCACTTTACCGGTCACCACAGGATCCAACACCTTCACACTCCAGTACCCAGCCATCCACACGCATCACCGCCCCTAAGCTGCTTATTTAAGCCAGCTAATCCGGAGTCCAGCTCATTCTCTCCTGAGGAAGGCCAGAGTACACTGGCCGAAACGTCGAGACCTGCTCTCACCGGTTCTTTTTAGAACCACACCTTTTCACAAAAGAGATATTTCCCACACGGTGTACCCACAAACCTTTTTTGTTTAACACTCCCACCATGCAAAGCTTCAAATCTTACTTAAGAAGAAACTTGAGAATCAAAAGTCACACACAAATTTAAAGCACTCTCCACCAAGCAAAAATGACCC